TTGTGCTATGACGACCATTTGCTTTAGTGAATCCAAAATACTTCTAAAACCACACCTTAATTTGTTGGTCTGATGTACACAAGAAGGTCATATTTTGTTGGCAGTAGATGATGGAGAAATTAGTGATTGGGTTGTAGGGAAATACATAGGAGCACCTGGGTTCCACCCCCTATATGAAAATTAAATTCAAAAGATAGCAGGGAAAATAAAAAATCTAAAATATTGGGATCTCGAACTTGGGTGCCCAATCTACTCCCTAGCAAAATACAGTACACACTAAAATCCATCCAAACAGGTTTTGTCTATACATAGGAATTTTCTTGTCTTTTTTGCCACATATACGTTTCCTGATATTTTTGCACAAAGTTTCACATGGAAGTAGATTGGACACCCAGGATTCATATCCCAAAACCCTAGATTTTTTTTAAAAAAATCTCGGTATTTTTTGAACATAATGTTCGTATAGGGGTGTGGTGCACCCAGATACTACAAATTCTCTTCCTTCATTGTAGGCTTATAAGGGATAGTTATTTATGTCTGTCGTGTGAATAGAAATACCAGGCTTCAATTAGTTATCACATGGCCTATCAATTGAAAAATTGCTTTCTGATGATACGATGTATGATAGCCATGCGCATGATGTTTTCATGTATTGAGACTGGGATTTTTTGGATGGGCGATAAGCTTCCCATGTTTGATTTTCTTTTACCTTTTCAAATTCGTCCGATGCGGTTGAGAATGGCACCGCCAGACCGGTGGTTGATATGTCTCCAACGTATCTATATTTTTGATCGTTTCATGGTATTATATTATCTGTTTTGGATGTTTTATATGCATTAATATGCTATTTTATATTATTTTTGGGACTAACCTATTAACCTAGAGCCTAGTGCCAATTTTTGTTTTTTCCCTTGTTTTAGAGTTTCTCAGAAAAGGAATACCAAACGGAGTCCAAACGAAATAAAACCTTCGCGATGATTTTTCTTGGACCAGAAGACAACCAGGAGACTTGAAGATGAAGTCAGAAGAGCCACGAGGCGGTCGCAAGGACAGAGGGCGTGCCCAGGGGGGTAGGGCGCGCCCCCACCCTTGTGGGCCCATCGTGACTCCACCGACCTAATTCTTTCGCCTATATATACTCTTATATCCCCAAACCAACGAGGGGAGCCATGAAAACACCTTTCCACCGCCACAACCTTCTGTACCCGTGAGATCCCATCTAGGGGCCTTTTCCGGCGTCCTGCCGGAGGGGGATTCGATCACGGAGGGCTTCTACATCAACTCTATTGCCCTTCCGATGAAGCGTGATCAGTTTACTTCAGACTTATGGGTCCATAGCTAGTAGCTAGATGGATTCTTCTCTCTCTTTGATTCTCAATACCATGTTCTCCTCGATGTTCTTGGAGATCTATTTGATGTAATACTTTTTGCGGTGCGTTTGTCGAGATCCGATGAATTGTGGATTTATGATCAGCTTATCTATGAATATTATTTGAATCTCCTCTGAATTCTTATATGCATGATTTGATATCTTTGTAATTCTCTTCGAACTATCGGTTTGATTTGGCCCACTAGATTGGTTTTTCTTGCAATGGAAGAAGTGCTTAGCTTTGGGTTCAATCTTGCAGTGTCCTTTCCTAGTGACAGTAGGGGCAACAAGGCACGTATTTTATTGTTGCCATCAAGGATAAAAATATGGGGTTTTCATCATAGTGCTTGAGTTAATTCCTCTACATCATGTTATTTTGCTTAATGCGTTACTCCGTTCTTTATGAACTTAATACTCTCGATGCATGCTGGATAGCAGTCGATGTGTGGAGTAATTGTAGTAGATGCAGGATCGTTTTGGTCTACTTGACACGGACGCGATGTCTATATTCATGATCATTGCCTTAGATATCGTCATAACTTTGCGCTTTTCTATCAATTGCTCGGCAGTAATTTGTTCACCCACCGTATTATTTGTTATCATGAGAGAAGCCTGTAGTGAAACCTATGGCCCCCGGGTCTATCTTCCATCATACAAGTTCTATTTTCCATCATACAAATTCTAGTTTCCATCATATTAGTTTCCGATCTACTATTTTGCAATCTTTTACTTTCCGATCTATAAACAAAAAATACCAAAAATATTTACTTTACCGTTTATCTATCTCTATCAGATCTCACATTTGCAAGTAACCGTGAAGGGATTGACAACCCCTGCAAGTTGTTGTTTGTTTATGCAGGTATTTGATGACTTGTGCGTTGTCTCCTACTGAATTGATACCCTGGTTCTCAAAACTGAGGGAAATACTTACTCTACTTTGCTGTATCACCCTTTCCTCTTCAAGGGAAAAACCAACGCAAGCTCAAGAAGTAGCAGTGATCTTCGACACTTTTATTTTGCCATATATGCAATGTTCCCATTTTATTTTGTTCCTTTTCTCTACAAGATAAGATCTATACTTAACCTTATGTTTAATCTGATGTTGCTCATGTATATGATGTTGCTTTAGTTTTAGGAAAAGTTTCACATGTTGGATGTTTTCTTCCTTTGTCAAATATTTATAATAACTACCTCGGACTTGCCTTCACATAGGTAAAATTGCTACTCCCTTCATTCCTTATACAAGGCCATAAACTTAGAATACAGGTACCAAGGTAAAATTTAATGACTGCTTTGCAAGCTAACTTTTCTTTTTGTTAATCAGGATCATTAATACGCAACATGCATGTAAGGAAGGAATGAGAATGAAGTAGTTGATTGTCATTATGACAGCATGCATGCAAGTATTAAACAAGTTGCTAGTAGGAGGAACATCATTAATTTTTGCATTGATTTCTGTTAATGGCCTTGTATAGATGCAAAATGTATTTTTCATAGTGACATTGTATAAGGGAATGCAAGAGTACCATAAGTGGTTGCTAAAACCTAATTTTACCAGCAGTTCGGATTTGACATGGTTTCTGCGCTTGGTCAAATGTAAAGTTACTGAAAAATGCAAATATTTTTTACGTGCACATGGTTTCAAATGGGACTCTGCGCCATTGGGCGCAACAGGTCCTCAATTGATTTCCCATTTCATGTTTGCACTTCTACTCCCATCGTTCTAAAATAAGTGTCTCAAGCTTAGTACAAAGTTGAGACATTTATTTTCGAACGAAGGGAGTATTATGGAACAACATGTCATAAACATGGCGTGGGATATTTTTTTCCCGTTCCCTTCAAAAAAGAAGAGATGGCTATAGAAAGTGGCTTCATCACGGAGCAAAAGAAAAATGTCGTGCAAGGCATTGTTTGTTCAGCTCCTTTCAAAAATGTAGGAATTACAGTGCATCTGACATATATAAAGGGTTGTGAAGGCAAAATTCTATGGATCCAGAGGAGTGGGAGGGGAGAGTTTACCAACAACGTATAGGACAAAGCATGACTTGGATTCCTAAGTCCCATCTAACATAGCAAAATTGTATAAAGAGAATGCCTGCATTTTGAAAACTCTATTACATAGTTTGAGGCTATGTTTCTTTCAATTTTCAATATTAAAAGGATCCTTATTATTGTCAAATTGTCAAGCATTTATTTTCAAATAACTCTTTTGTTTGACGTAACGGGTAATGTTATTATACATTTTATTATAGACAACAAAGATGATTTATTCTTTTTTCTTAAGAGGGTTTAAATTTGTATCATATGTGCTTACCCATAACTAATCCAACTAAACTATATTTTTTTCTTCAGTTCATACATAAATTCAACAGATCTTTAGGCCATTTGATGCAACGGGTCCACTAGAACTAGTATTGTAAACCCAGCTAACAGGCCATTGCGGTACGCGGAGCCGAGGGGAGCTCATATTGAGCGCTGTAGGCGTCGCTGGCGCTCGCACGGACGCGAAGTGGGCCGGCCCAGCAACGTGCTACAAAGCAAAAGGAGAATGCAAATAAATTCGAGGAGACGTGGGACTCGAACTCCCGACGCCCAGTAGCCCCCCACATGAGTTAACCACTACACCATGTTTAGTTCGTTGATTACATAAGGAAAACAGAGTATTCACATAAACCATGGATTATTTGACTAAAGAAAACATAAATATTAAAAAGCATTCACATAAACAATGAATTGAAAAGAAAACTTCACAAAAATGGAAAAAGTTCATGAATTTGAAAAAATTTCATTGAATTTTAAAAAAAAGTTCATTGAATTTGAGAAAAGTTCACCAAATTTGAGAAAGAGTTCATCGATTTTGATAAAAGTTCATTGATTTTGAAAAGAGTTCATCAAATTTGAAAAAAGTTCATCGAATTTAAGATAAAGTTCATGAAATTTGAAAAAAATTCATCGAAAATCGAAAAAAGTTCATTGATTTTCATAAAAAGTTCAATGAATTTTAAATGTTCATTAAATTTGAGAAAAGTTTATCAAATTTGAAAAATAAGTTCATCAATTTGGAGAAAAGTTCATGGATTGTTGAAAAAACGTTCGTTGATTATGAAGAAAAAGTTCCTGGATTTACAATCGCGCATTTCAGAAAAAGAAATAAATAGAAAAGGAAAAAAGACAGAAAAATAGAAAAAAGAAAAAGAGATGCGAACTACTAGCAAAGAACAAAAAGGACGGAAGCAGTTTCAATCCATAAGTTCACGATGGTTCTAGTGGTTAGGTCGTTACGCTGAGAACTAAGAGGTCTAGAGTTTGATTCTTTGGCTGGCGCCATTTTTGCACTTTAAAACAGATAAAAGGAAACGCTAAATAGGCCGAGCCCAGCTAAGGAGCCTGCAGGCGCCGGTTTGCAGAAATAGAAGAAACCGGCGCCTGCAGCGCTAAATAGGATTTGCCGGAGCCGAGCCCTAGGCACCAACTCACGACAACTGCCTCTCTCAGTCTCTCTCTCTTTTATTAGATCAAAAAAACTGCCTCTTTCTTTCCCCCTTCTCCTCGTCGTCGTCCTCCCCCCACCCCCCGCAGGTAGGGTTTGCGCCGGATAGAGGAGGAAGCGTGGAGGCGGGTGAAGGCACCCATGGCGAGCGACGTGCCCATGACCCCGGAGCTCCAGCAGATGGATGGAGAGATCCAGGACATCTTCCGCGCACTCCAGTGAGTCCCCCTGTATACCTCACCCTCGAGTTACTGTCTCAGTTTTCTTTCTCGCCAAAAAGGAAGAGTTTAATGTTTCAGTTATCCCCCAATACTCCCTCCGTTTCTAAATATAAAAATACGGACAATATACAGATGTATATAGACGTATGTTAGAGTGTAGATTCACTCATTTTGCTCCGTATGTAGTCTATTTTGAAATCTCTAAGAAATCTTATATTTAGGAACGGAGGGAATACTTGCTACCTCGGAGCGGTGCTATCCGCTTACGCGTTAAGGGAAAGATGTGTTTCGGTAGTGGAACTGGAGCTCTGAATGCTGGTGCAATTGTGACCTCTTTACCTGCTTTGGTTGTCACTGCTTACAGTTACTCGCTCATGTGTTATACTGGTATAGCAAAGGAGAGAAATAAGTTAGCGTGGGGAGTTTTGTGATGGAATGATGGATGTAATTTAGTATAGGATTTGATGGCTTACTGCACAATTGTCTAGCTCATTGAACTGTCAACCTGTCTGGGAGTCGTTCATGTGAAATTTACAGCTGCTGTCATAATTTAGACTTACTGTAGAGATCATCAGTACGGGAGAAACATACTCCCTCCGCTCCATAATAACTGTCGTGGTTTTAGTTCTAACTAAAACCACGGCACTTATTATGGAACGGAGGGAGTAATAGATAAGGTATTTGAGCAGAAACCTGAAGTTCTGTACTGGTGACTTCAGCATAGTCTCCTTGCTTGTCACTATTTACTATCGATAACTTCATTGTGAACTACGTACAGCTTGCTGGAACAATTCAGACAGGTGTGGTTACCTTGATCACATGTCAGAAGTCGGAAATACTTAATTCAGATTTTCATCACAGAGTTGCTCATTATCAATGAAGCAATGATTCAATTCACCGTTCTTATATTATCTTGATGATTAAAATGAATAGAGATAAATACCATTTTTCACATGCAAATTTTGATATATAATGGTCCAACGCATGTGCATCGGATGTTTGAACTTTGGGCAACCTGAGTACCTCTCAAGCCTTTGTTTTTTGGTGTCAATGTTACAATATAGTATTGGCCATTGAAACCTAAAAGCACAATTTCAGTAAATGTGGACGGGGCAGGGTTATCTTGATTTTTGCATTCACAAAGTCCTAATTCTAGCTAAGTTTGGTTCCAGCAAATCCATAATCGGGAATTCTTCCTTTCTAGCTTGAATTCTGAATGACATGCTGCAACTACCAGTGTGCTTATCTTATTTCGATAACTAAGTGTAGCAATGTACAAGCTCTCTTGAGGTTAATCTGAGTCTCCTCAATAGTGGAATACAAACACCTATGTAAATTATCAAACTCATGTTCTAAAGCTTTATTGATTTTACTGAAATACTCAAATTAATTTACCTGCCTAGTTAAGTCGTTTATTCACGTGCCCTTTTCTGTATGTGCAGAAATGGGTTCCAAAAGATGGACAAGATTAAAGATTCTAATAGGCAAGCTAAACAATTGGAGGATCTTACAGGGAAAATGAAGGAGTGCAAGCGGTATGCCAGGCTGACAGCATTCTTCAGTCTTAAATCTGCTACTGTAAAGTCTTTCTTTTTTACTTTCATCTTGACAGTCTTACACTGGTGTTAATTTCTCATATATTCATCCTTCAGTTCTTTTATTCTTAGCTTGAAACTTTGGCAGTTAACTGGCTGTGTGGTGCAATACTATCTGATTTGTGTCATTTGATGACAATTTTCCCTTTGCTGGATACAATCATGGATGTGCCATGCTCTATGTAATGCGTAAAGTTCATATTTGTCTTTGCAGCTTGATCAAAGAGTTTGATCGTATTCTGAAAGTCGAGGAGTCAAAGAACCCTCCTGAAGTCAACAAGCAGCTAAATGACAGAAAACAGTATATGGTCAGTACATCATTTCAGTAGGCTCTTTGTTGTATGCCATTTGCACCCTTCTGTAATCAGTTCTTATTCACTATACAGATCAAAGAGTTGAACTCCTATGTCACCTTGAGGAAGACGTAAGTATACATTTTGTTTTGTGCAATAAGTTGCTGATATGCTCCACGTAATCTTAAGGAGTATTAGTATTATTTATTGAATTCCTTCGTTGTAACTGTTATGGATGCAACTTGATTGCATTGCGAGGCCCAAGGGGCATATATATATTACACAAGACTTGGGGTACAAGGAAAGGAAACATAGCCTAATAGGACTCCTAGACCTAATACTAATGCTCCTTAACAGTAACATCTGGAATTTCAAAGATAATGCTAACTAACTACAGATCTCTTGCAGATACCAAAGTAGCCTTGGTAACAACAAGCGGGTTGAACTCTTTGATATGGGTGGTACAAGTAGTGAGCCTGCCGCAGATGACAATATTCAAATGGCATCAGGTTAAATTAACTGAGGCCTTTTAAGCTGTGTTTAGTCTCTTGCGAATAATATCGCTAAGTCTATGATTATCATATGCCTTACTGATGAGTTTTCTCTGCAATGATACCAGTAACATTCCAATGTATAAATAAGTTACAATGGGATTAGTTGATTTCCTGACTTTTGCCAGTATAACTACAGTAGTTCTGACTTTATATTGGTATAGGCTATGTTCTTTGTTGATGAGTTGATGTGATATATGGGAGTATGGATGTGTGACATCGTGAACTCATGGTTTATTGGAGTTTCTCATAATTTCTGCTGAATATAACCACACGGAATGTCGATAAGGTATCATTTATCTGTTGTGCTCCATTTTATAAGCCAATTTTATCTTAATTTGGTTCATGTCTCCAGTGAAAAAAATAACCTTTTTTGCACGAGAATGGTAATCTAGACCGTTATCTTAATTGGCTCCAGATTCGGTATTATAGTGAAACAAAGATAATGCTTGAAGTAGAATATTTTCCCAAGACCAAAATGATTATCACAAGATTTTACCATTTCATATTATTTTCATCATATATAAAAAGAAGTGTCAGTTTCCAAGCCATATATTTATGTTGGTTCTTATGGAAGGACCTGGCTATGCAGCTATGACGAATCAACAACTCGTTGATTCTGGAAGAAACCAAATGGATCAAACAGACGAAGCTATTGCACGTTCAAAAATGGTTGCTTTCTAAACTATATATACTCTTGAACGATTTTCTTTATGGCAATTTTAAAGTTTTTTCTTGTCTAGGTTGTTGCGCAAACTGTCGAAGTTGGATCTCAAACTGCTACAACATTAACACAGCAGGCAAGATTTTCTGGAGTTTAAACAGCAAATTTTCCCCCTTCCATGCTCGTTTCTTGTGGCGTAAATGTGTGTTTAGTAGTTGCATAGAAAAATTGTTTTTTCATACCTATTCAGTACTTCTGTATTAAAGCAGATTTTAAAAATCTGTTCTCCACTAGAAAGAGCTTGTATGTTTTTATTAAAAGAATCAGAGGTAAACATAAATGTATTTGTTATTGCATGGTACCCATCCATGATTTATATGAGAAAGCACAGCTTTTTTGGAGTGAAATATACAAAGTTTGATTGTAGCGCAAACACACCCAGTGGACATCAGAATTCTCGAATTAGGTAGACATAATGTTGTGCTGCTATTAACTGACTGTTTTATTTAAGTCTTATATTTCATTGTAAGGGCTACCTTATGTCAATTATCTAGAGGTGTTACGAAGATTCAGCATATAATTTAACTCCCTTGGTGGTATTGAATGCTTCAACATCTTGTGCCACTGCACAAGAATAATATAGATGTGCATCAGACATCCTAGATATTCCAAAACTTTATCTTATCTACTCTTAAAGTTGCCCCGTCCCCCCAAATTCACTATGATGTAATACTACCCTACATTGCATTTAGGTTGTGATTGACTGATTCATATCTCACACTGCATTCCAGTATCCATAACTTTTCTTGTTTTCCTCAGATAAATTTCTAGCATGCATGCACATGATATTGATTTTTGTTTTTGTTTTTGTCCAGAAACATGATAATAATTCTGACAGCACATATTATCCTATACTTTTGCAGACGGAACAAATGAAGAGAATTGGCAATGAGCTCGATTCGGTTCACTTTTCGTTGAAGAAAGCTAGCCAGCTTGTGAAAGAGATTGGCCGGCAGGTTTCTCCCACCTCTCTCTGTGTGCCCATTCGTGCTTGTGAAGTGGCACCTGTACCTGATATTTGGAAACTCTCCTTGTCGCAGGTAGCAACAGACAAATGCATCATGGGGTTGCTTGCTCTGATAGTTTTTGGCGTTATTGCAATTATCGTTGTTAAGGTAAAATTTCTGCTATTTCTGTTTGTCTATTGTATCCAGAGGACATGAAAGATTGCCAGCTCATGACCAAATGCACATGCATTCAAGTACTCCCTCTGTAAACTAATATAGGACATTTTAGAGACTTGACACAAAACGTCCTATATTAGTTCACAGAGGGAGTATTTGTAAAGAATGAGAACATAGGGGAAAGAAGTCCCCTGTTTTATTCTTATGAAGATGAGTCCTTCAACCCGGGTCGGTGACAACTCACCTTGGAGCTGTCTACACTAGACCACGGGAGAGTTTTTGCATTCAACTACTACCTCCGTCCGGAAATACTTGTCGCTGAAATGTATGTATCTAGATGTATTTGTAGTTCTAGATACATCCATTTCTGTGACAAGTAATTTGGGGCGGAGGGAGTATTTGTTAATATAGTAATGATAATGGCTTGGCATCACTCTACTACATTAGGGAGCGAAACAAGGTTCATTGGAACTTTTGAGCACACATAGTGATGGTGAACATTGATGCTACTATTTTTTTTGTTGCTGTTATATCTTGTTGCTCTGTTTTTCTAATCCTTATAAACCGAACTGTGAAAGATATTTATTTTTGCCATCCTTCAAGTCATTTTCTGTTAAAAAAAATTGCCCACTGAGACTTTCCATAGCATCTACTGTTTTTTCCTGTGCATAAATTGGATTTGAGTCGGAAGATTTCACCATGTTTGTCCTACCAGATTGTCAACCCGCATAACAAGAACATCCCAGATATCCCAGGAATGGCTCCACCTGCTCAAAATTTTCAGACTAACAGGAGATTGTTGTCAGCAAAAGCTTTCAGAGGTCTTTGATGATTGCATGCGGTGGTTTCATACTGCAGTCCTTTTGTAACAAAGCTGCTGGCAGTGCGCCATGAGATACGTTGTAACAATTGTTCTGCTCATGTATATTATTTTCTGTTGTGTGTATATGCACTATGCAACAGAGATGAGGTCTCTTCTACGAGTATGTAGGAATACCCCCTAGCACTTTATGAAATTTCAAATGGTAGAAACATAATCAGACGTTTTAGATCAAAGTAGTGATCTAAAACGTCTTATATTCGGATTGATACTTGGCGAATTCGCTACGCGGGCAGCTGTATTTAATTGAGGCAACAAGTGTGACTAGGGCTGCCAGCTAGTTGCTTCTGTATGCAGTGCAAAAACCTCCAAGGCTTCAGCATCAGTGCACGAGAAAAGAAAACACTATAGTGGCGTTTTGGCTCTGGCATCCAGGTGTTCTTTGTATACTGGACGTCCAGCTGCTTCTCTAGATCTGAGCCAGGAGCAATTAATGATGATATAAGTTGGCTTAGAAAATCAGGGAAAGCAATTAATGATGATGTACGGTGGCTTAGAAAATCAGGGAAAGCGGCATGTATGTACCCGTAGCAGCTCCCCTTGTGAGACCCCGTTAGGGCCGGCGACGGCAGTTTGGCTATGTCGCGATGGGCCATGGTGCAGGATTACCGTGCCGACTGTATGTCAACGACAAGGCACGGGACAAGCGCGAAGCATAGAACTGTTCCAATCTCAAGCCTAGTCCAAGGCCCAAGCGCAAGCCGCAACTCCCGTATCGGCTTGCAGGTCCAGAATGGGCCCTTGGCCTTGTAATGATATAACTAGAGCGTCTCATCTGGTAGAGGGTAGGCGGCCGGACGGCTAAAGACTGGAAGGATAGCGTGTGTGTGTGTGTGTGTTTCCCTCCTCTCCTCTCGATCCCCTTTCCCCATGGATTTATAGCTCGAATTCGTAATCATGGAGTAATTGAGAGATAGCCCTGACAATCTAGTATCAGAGCTGAGCCCCACGCCACCCTAAGGGCGGCTTCCTTAGGGGGTGGGGTGTCAGGAACCTGACCTTGGGCAGTGCTAGTGACTTTAGTCCCACCTCGGATATGGGAGGAGATTAGGAGCTCCTTATAAGGGAGAGTGCCACATTCCCTCCAAGCCGGTCTTTTGGGATGTAGTGGGCTCTTTGCTTGTACTGGAGTGTCCAATGCGCACCGGAAACGTTCGAACATATGCCGATGGACCGGAAACGTCCGAACATATGCCGGAATCCACTATTCAGTCCACCAAAACAATGCAGTTGAAGATGCAATTACAAGGTTTAAATCTAGTTTTTCTGGTGGATTCTGGCAGTTCACACTCCTTCCTGCATGCTTCCTTAGCTGGAAAGTTACAAGGGCTAACTCCAATACCTAAGGTACTAGTGAAGATTGCTAATGGAGACATTGTGCCCTGTGATTCTCAACTTTCTGAAGGTGTATGGTCTTGTGCTGGCCATAAATTTACAAGTTCCTTTAAGATTTTTCCTCTTGGAAGTTATGATGGCATTGTGGGTATGGACTGGCTCTCTACTCATAGCCATATGTTGGTGGACTGGGAACAACATTGGCTATCATTTGTTTACCAAGGGTCAGAAATAACACTGTTGGGTGCTGCCTCAGCGTTGCCTGAAATCACAGTGGTAGAAATCTGCTCCCTATTGTCAACTCCTAATTTGCCCATACCTACTGAAGTGCAACTGATCCTTGATGAGTACAAGCATGTGTTCGAGCCACCTACTGGCCTGCCTCCCAGACGTCCATATGATCACACAATTCCTCTGTTGCCGGGTGCTACTCCAGTGTCAATGAGACCCTACAGGTTGCCACCATTACTAAAAACAGAGCTCGAGAAACAAATCAAGGAGATGCTTGCTAGTGGTGTTATCCGTCTGAGTAACAGCCCCTTTTCATCTCCACTTCTTATGGTCAAGAAGAAAGATGCTTCCTGGCGCCATGTGATTGATTATCGCCACCTAAATGCAATGACATAGAAGGGCAAATTTCCAATACCTGTTATTGATGAACTTTTAGATGAACTTGCGGGTGTCAGTTGGTTTACTAAACTTGATCTCCGTTCTGGTTACCATCAGATTCGCCTAGCTCCTGGTGAGGAGTACAAGACAGTGTCCCAAACTCATTTGGGGCACTATGAGTTCACAGTTCTCTCGTATGGTTTGACTGGCGGGCCCAACACCTTTCAGTTTGGGATGAACCACACTCTGGAGCCTGGCAATCGCAAATACGTAGTGGTCTTCTTCGATGATATACTTGTGTTTAGCTCCTCGTTCGAAGATCATTCGAGTCACCTTCGTCTGGTGCTAAAAATGCTCTCTAAACATCAGTGGTGTGTTAAGTTGTCAAAGTGTGCTTTCGTGCAACGTCAGGTGGGTTACTTGGGGCATATCATAAGTGAGGCAGGGGTTTCCACTGACCCAGAAAAGATTTCCGCCATACAAACTTGGCCTACTCCTTCCAATGTCAAGGAGGTTCGTGGATTCCTAGGTTTGGCAGGTTATTACAGGAAGTTCGTTCGTAACTATGGCATTACGTGTCGCTCTTTGACTGCTCTACTTAAGAAGGGAGTGATCTTTCGCTAGTCTGATATTGAGGAACGAGCATTTCAATCTCTAAAACAAGCTCTTGTATCTGCCTCAGTGTTGGCTCTTCCAAACTTCAACAAAACTTTTGTTATTGCAACTGACGCCTGTGACGTGGGAGTAGGTGCTGTTCTAATGCAGGACGGTCACCCGATAGCCTATGTCAGTAAGGCTCTGGGTCCACGCAACCGATCACTATCCGTGTACGAAAAATAATTCTTGGCAATACTGCTTGCGGTGGAACATTGGCGTCAGTACTTGTCGATGAATGAGTTCATCATCCAAACTGATCAACGAAGTTTGACTAGCCTGTCAGATCAACGTCTGCACACCGGCTGGCAGCAGAAAACTCTCACAAAATTAATGGGCCTTCGTTACCACATTCAGTACAAGAAGGGGACTAAAAATAGCGCAGCCGATGCTCTTTCCCGCCGTCCTCATGATTCGATGGAACTACAAGAGATATCTACTGTTCAACCAACTTGGTTTACTGATATTGCTGCCAGCTATAGTGGTGATCAGTTCTCCGAGAAGCTCCTGTAGAAACTGGCTGCCGCTCCTTCGCCTGACAGTAAATTCTCTCTGAAAAACGGATTATTAAGTACTGATGGTTGCCTCTGGGTGGGTGCAGATGCTGCGTTGCACACTAAGATCATTCAAGCTTTCCATGACTCTCCCTTAGGTGGACATTCAGGGTTTCCGGTTACATATCGGCGCATTCGCCAACTCTTTTCGTTGGGCTCGCATGAAATTGCTTGTCAAAAATTACGTGCAACATTGCACCGTCTATCAGCAAGCTAAAACGGAAAGGGTTCCTTATCCTGGTCTTCTGCAACCATTACCAATTCCAGATCTGCCATGGGAAATGGTCACTATGGACTTCATAGAAGGGATTCCATCTTCTGGTCGTTTCAATTGTATATTGGTGGTCATCGACAAGCTGTCAAAATATGGCCACTTCATTCCACTACAACATCCATTTACAGCGCCCATTGTGGCAGAAGCCTTTCTGAATTCTGTCTACAAATTGCATGGTATGCCCCTGTCAATCGTTTCTGACCATGATCGTATCTTCACTAGTCTGTTCTGGAAGGAATTATTTCAGCACACACAAGGAACACAATTACGCATGAGCACAGCTCACCACCCCAGTCTGATGGACAAACCGAGCGAGTGAATCAGCAGGTGGAGTGCTATTTGCGTTGTTTTGTCAGCGGTCACCCTTCCAGATGGGCCAAATGGTTGCCATTGTGTGAATACTGGTATAACACGAACTGGCACTCAGCAACATCAAAAACTCCATTTGAGATCATATATGGGCATCAACCACGCCACTTTGGTTTTGCACCTGATTGTACAGTGGCTTCTCCTGACCTGGCCCTTTGGCTTGACCAGCGACAGGTGGTTCTTGAATCAGTTAAACAACAACTGCTGCGGGCTCAACAGAGGATGAAAGTGCAGGCTGACAAGCATAGAACAGAGAGGTCATTCGAGGTCGGTGATCGAGTCTTTCTCAAGCTTCAACCCTACCTTCAGTCATCAGTTGCACCCCGCGCCAATCACAAGCTGGCTTATAAGTTCTTTGGACCATATTCCATACTGGAGAAGGTGGGTGAGGTAGCCTATAAATTGGATCTCCCTGACTCAAGCAAGGTACATCCCGTTTTCCATGTTTCTCTCCTTCATCGATTTCTCAAGCCTGAGAATCAAGTTCTGGCGCGACTCTCTTCTCCTGATGATGCCTTGCAAGTTCCTGAGAAAGTTCTCCAGCAACGTGTGATTACCCGAGGAGGCAAGAAGGTGCTGCAAGCATTGATACAGTGGTCTGGTGATTTGGTTGATGGTGCTGTATGGGAAGACCTGGACGAACTCAAACAAAGATTCCCTCGTGCAGCGGCTTGGGGGCAAGCCGTATCTCAACCAGGGGGGATTGTCAACGACAAGGCACGGGACAAGCGTGAAGCAGAGAACCGTTCCAATCTCAAGCCCAGTCCAAGGCCCAAGCGCAAGCTGCAACTCCCGTATCGGCTTGCAGGCCCAGAATGGGCCCTTGGCCTTGTAACAATATAAGTGGAGCATCTCATCTGGTAGAGGGCAGGCGGCTGGACGGCTAGAGACTGGAAGGATAGCGTGTGTGTGTTCCCCTCCTCTCGTCTCGATCCCCTTTCCCCATGGATTTGTAGCTCGAATTCGTAATCATGGAGTAACTGAGAGATAGCCCTGACACTGTACCATGGTACGTACATATCTTTTCGTGGTCCCCGTTTGTAGTACAAATGAAGTGAATGCGGATTGATACTTGTTTTGCCCTATTTTTGTTTTGGAGATTGTTGTCGGAAACTAGAGACTGACTCGTTTGTAAGTGTACACAGAGAAAAATA